CGCCACCTGGGCTGGGCGTATGGCCTCCTTTTGGGAGGAGGGTTGCCCTCTAAGAAGTTGATCTGCCTCTGAAGGCACACACACCTCAGTAGGCTGTTCACAAATATCTCTTCTGTGCCCTCTGCAATGCTAGACCTGGGTGCACGGGATCTGGTCTACAGGTCTGACCTCTGGTTCCCAGAGTTCAAACTGTATCCCCACCAGGGAGAGGAGTTCCAGTCCCAATTCACCCACAGGGAGCCCTAGCTGGGTCTTTGTCTCTCAGCCTCTGAGTCTGCACCGTTCTCCTGGGAACACCCTGCCAGCAGCACCTGGGAGGGCTGGTGGGTAGGGAGCTCACAGTCTGAGTTCCCCTTAGTCAGCTGTAGGATCCCAAAAGGGAAGGTCCCCTTCCCTGGAGGTTCCTCCAGCTAGTGGCTGTATTGTCTCTCTGGGCAGCTGTGGGTAAGGTCAGCGGAGGGGAGAAGGAGGCAATATGGAGCCTGCCGTGTGGTTCGGGTCTGTGCACACGGAGGTGCCCGGAGGAAGTTGGGAGCCTGGTTCAGCATCTGCTACAGGCTCAAGGCTAGCTGGCAGCGGCCGTCTCTTGGCTGGTGTCCGCAGGTCTCTCCACCCGCTGGGGAGCCCACCAGCGGTCCCAAATGCAGGGGTGGGGAAAGGTGACTTATCCACTTACCCTTCCCGCTGGTCTCCGGGCTGCTCTGGCGGTCTCAGCTTCCAGTTCTCCTCCGCAGCCTCTTCCTGTGGAGTCTTCTGGGGTCTCAGGTACCCCTCCTTCTGGCCCTCGTCCACTGTATGCTCGTCTTCTTGCTTCTTTTTTCTAATTTCTGCTAGAATCTGTCTTCTCTGCAGAGACACTCTGTCTGGCGGTGTTTCTCGTCCGCCATCTTTATCCTCCCCCCTGTTGCTTCCTGGTTGTTTTTGAGACAGAGTCTCATTCTGTTGCCCTGAGTAGAGTGCACTGGCATCAGCCTAGCTCACAGTAATCTCAAACTCCTGGGCTCAAGCAATCCTTCTGCCTCAGCCTTCTAAGTAGCTGGGACTAAGGGTGCACACCACCAAGCCCAGCTAATTTTTCTATTTTTAGTAGAGAGAGCTTCTCACTCTTGCTTAGGCTGTTACAGCAAGTGTTACAGTGGGTGGTCCCAAGGACAAACCAAGTGGCACATGGAGAGTCGGAGAATCAAAGTTTATTTCGCCGGTTCAGCGGAGCCTGGCCACCAAATTCTGAGCACTGTCTACCGGATTTTTCCCACTTTTATTATGTTGGGATGGTCCGAGGGGTGGGGTATCAGGTGTAGGTTAGTTGATGTGTGGGCAATAGGTTAATATTATGTTGATGCGCCAGGCAACAGATGTAGTGTTATGCTGATGCCAGGCATAGACTAGTTGATGGGCCAGGAAATAGGTTAGTATTATGCTGATGTGTGTCTTCCATGAGTGTCCCTCCCAGTCTCCAGTGCCTGATGTACCAAGTAACAGATAGGGGTTTCCCTTATCAAGGCTGATCTTGAACTCCTGACATCAAGTGATCCTCCCACCTCGGCCTCCCAGAGTGTTGGGATTATAGGCATGAGCCACCATGCTTGGCCAAGTTATTTGATTTCATAGGAAGTTTTCAGCTTTTATACATCTGACTTTTATAAAATCTGTGCAGTCATACATTATACATTAAACCCAAACCATCTTCCTTGTGCTGAATTTGGACCTAAATACATCAGGTGACAAATATTTCAAGCTATTTATTGCCTGTCAGCCAACCTTCCAGTTTCTACAATGAAGCCATATTGGTAGAGCAGATTTTACACAGCAATTCAAATATTTTTTACATTTTCTCTCATTATTTTATAAAAATACAAATGGAAAGCCAAAAAAATGAAAGGATTAATACTGCAATTAGCTAAAGACAAATACTATTAAACATGCCAAAAGCAATGATTCTTGAGATAAGCACATTAGAGCAACTAGTCAGCTGGAGATTTGATTGTGAAGGAAAAGAACAAGTAAACGAATATGTACAGATGACTGAAAATATATCATTGAAAATTGAATCAAAAAGGCCAATGTAATGATGGAGGAAATGGAGAAATTATTTAAATTTTGGACTGAGAATCAATAGATTACTGATATATACAGGCTTCCAAAATCAAAGAAGAGTCCATAGCTCCACAGAGCTATTGATTGGAGCACAATTTATAATATACAATACTATCAAATGAAAACGAATCCTCGTTAGTATAGTGGTTAAAAAATAAAAGACAGCCATCCGAGATTGAGCAATAACAGGTCTGTGATGCCCTTTAAAAAAAAAGAAAGAAAAAAAAAGTTAAAAAAAAAAAAGAAAGAAAGAAAAAGAAGGCTGGTGTTCAATTTCATTTAGACAAATTTATCAAGAGAGTTGAAAAGACCTCAAAGTCAGCATAAAAAACTGGTGTCATGGTTCACGCCGGTAATCCTAGCACTTTCAGAGGCTGAGGTGGTAGCATCAATTGAGGCTAGCAGTTAGAGACCAGCCTGAGCAACATAGTGAGACTTTGTCTGCACAACAAATTAAAAAATTAGCCAGGCATGGTTGCACACAGCTGTAGTCTCAGCTACTCAGAAGATTTGAGGATCGCTTGAGCACAGGAGTTGAAGGCTGCAGTGAGCTGTGATCACACTACTGCACTCCAGCCTCGGTGACAAAGGGAGACACTATCTCAAAAACACGCAAAAAAGTCAGCATGAAAATTCCCTTCTCAATCCCTTGAAAATCATTATTAACAAGTCCTTCTTCTTAACATTGAAATAAAAAAAGTGCTTGAAGAACTAATGGCCAAAAGTTTTCAAAATCTGTTGAAGATTATAAAACCACAGACCTTTTTCTGGGCTTCTGACTAAACTATGAGCTCAAGTGCAAGAACTTGGGCTAACTCCCTGTCCCAGGTTCCCATATCAAGTTGACAAATTGGCAAATTTTTAAAAAAGTTTTTATTTTTAATTATCATGGGTACATAATAGTATTATATATTTATAGGGTACATGTGATGTTTTGATACAGGCATACAATGTGTATTAATCAAATCAGGGTAACTGGAGTATCCATCACCTCAAGCATTTATCAATTTTGTGAACAAATTAATAACTTTAATGAACAAATGAACCTCATTATTTTCCAAATAACCAACAAATACTTGCTAAGGTCCATAGAAGAGATGACACAGTTCTTGAAAGTATAATGCATTCAAGTGTGAGACTTACTTGTGAAGGGAGCTTCTGTTCCAACTAGGTTACATTATTGTTTCCAACAGGAAGTATGCTATTATCTTTATCATTGTTCTTTTTTTTTTTTTTTTTTTTGAGACAGAGTCTCGCTTTGTTGTCCAGGCTAGAGTGAGTGCCGTGGCGTCAGCCTAGCTCACAGCAACCTCAAACTCCTGGGCTTGAGTGATCCTTCTGCCTCAGCCTCCCGAGTAGCTGGGACTACAGGCATGCGCCACCATGCCCGGCTAATTTTTTTTATATATATATATATCAGTTGGCCAATTAATTTCTTTCTATTTATAGTAGAGACGGGGTCTCGCTCTTGCTCAGGCTGGTTTTGAACTCCTGACCTTGAGCAATCCGCCCGCCTCGGCCTCCCAAGAGCTAGGATTACAGGCGTGAGCCACAGCACCCGGCCTTTATCATTGTTCTTATGTACACAGTGTGTTATTTTCACAAAATGCTTTTAAGATTTTTCCTTATCATTGGTTTTAAGCAATTTGATTGTGACATGCCTTAGTGTAGTTTTCTGCATATTTCTTCTGCTTGGTGCTTTTTTGAACTTGGATCTGTGGTTTTCTAATTTTCAACAATTTGGAAAAGTTTCACCACTAGTTCTTCAAACATTTTTATGATCCTTTCATACTCTAATTACATGTATATGAGGCCTTTTGACATGGTCTCACAACTCACTATATGCTCTGTTTATTTTTACATTCTTTGTCACTGTGTGTTTCATTTTGGATGGTTTCTATTGATAGGTTTTCTTTTTATTTATTTCAGGAAATTATGGGGGTACAAACATTTTGGTTACATGTTATGACTTTGCCACATCCCAAACATGATTTGAGACATGCCCTTTCCTCACCTATAATGCTCACCAAGTCGATTAATTGTGAGTCTATTCACCCCCAAGCCCCCTACCCTGAAAGAATATTACTACTGTGTGAGCACCTTAGCGTTGACCAGTCAGTGCCAATGTGATGGTGAGTACATATGGTACCTATTCTTCCATTCTTGTGACACCTCACTTTGGAGGATGGGCTCAAGCTCTATCCAGGAAAGTATAAGAGGTGCTAGGTCACCATCATTTTTTTTTTTTTTTTTTGAGACAGAGTCTCACTCTGTTGCCCAGGCTAGAGTGCCCTGGCGTCAGCCTAGCTCACAACAACCTCAAACTCCTGGGCTCAAGCAATCCTCCTGCCTTAACCTCCTGAGTAGCTGGGACTACAGGCATGAACCACCATGCCCAGCTAATTTTTTCTGTATATTTTTAGCTGTCCAAGTAATTTCTTTGTATTTTTAGTAGAGACGGGGTCTCGCTCTTGCTCAGGCTGGTCTCGAACTCCTGAGCTCAAATGATCCACCCACGTCAGCCTCCCAGAGTGCTAGGATTACAGGCATGAGCCACTGCGCCTGGCCCACCATTGTTTTCTATAGTTGTATACATATACCATATTTTATTAATCCACTCATAGATTGACAGTCACTTGGGTTGTTCTCACATCCTTGCTATAGTGAATTATGCTGCCATAAGCATTTGAGTGCAGATGTCTTTATTATAAAATGACTTTTGTTCCTTTGGGTAAATGCCTAATAGTGCTATTGCTGATCAAATGGTAGTTCTACTTGTTTGAGGTTATCTCCAAATTCTTTTCCATAGAGGTTGCACTAATTTGCAGTTCCACCAGCAGTGTAAGAATGTTCCTATCTCTTCACATCCTCGCCAGTATTTGTTGTTTGGGGATTTTTTTTTTTTTTGACAAATTTTATTAGATAGTTCAAAAGTACCCCCCCAAACCATCTTAAAGTCCAATTTTTCCTACATAAAGTATGTCCTCATTTCCACAATAATCATCTTTAGATGTACATTTTACTTAGTACATTTCACAGCTTTGAGTATCCAGTCCCTCATGAATATTTTGTAGGGTTGTCTTCGGTCCTGAAGTAAAATATGTGAATTCCAGCTCAATTCAGAGTGTATGATTCTGCTTTTCACGCTGATCAAATAAATTTATGGCGTCTCTTTTCTGATCTTCAGCAATAAAAACATTTAGGTTTTTGTCATTCCCTGCAAGGGCTGCCTGTTTGTCTGTTTCAGATTCCGCCTCATTTTCATCCATGTTGTAGTCATCATCTCCTCCCAGTTTTTGCTCGTTTCTCCCTTCCTCAGCAGCATCCTGCTCCTCCTCCTGCCCATCGGGAATGACAAGCTGGTCCCGCTCAGGGTCTTCAGTCTCCTGATTTTCCTGGCTCAGCAACAGGGCAGCTGGTACTTGTGGGGTTCGGCTTAGTTCTCTGGCTCTCCCCAAGTCTCTTCCGCCCACAGGTCTGTCCTCCACAGCCTGCTCCTGGCCTGGCTCCTGCAGCAGCCCCAGGCTGTCCCTCTGAGGCTCCTTCTCGCTGACAAACTGGATCTCATTAGTTTCCTCTTTCTCACCTCGACTCTTCAATTCCAAAGCCACCTTAGAACTGGGGGTTGGCATCTGGGACTCACCATCACTGGGTGTGTTTCCTTCCCTTTGTGGCACCTCTGCCCGTGGCAGGCCTGCTCCCTGCAGCCTGGGCTGAGGCTTGCTGAGAGTTTGGAGCTGCTGACTTGGGTCTTTTTTTTCACTCAGGTCTCTGGAAACTACAGCTTCATTTCCCTTTTTGGTGACCTCTTCTATTCGCTCCTCACATTGCTCCTTCACTTCCTTCATCTGATTGATGCACTGGCTCAGGTCATAGGAGAACTTCCTCTCCAGGTTGGTCTGGTTCTTCTGAAACTGGAGGACATCCTGCTGCAGCCTGCCATAATTCCTCTGCAGAGTCTTTAACTGGTCCTGCAGGACTCTGATGAGCCTCTCACCCGTGGTGATGTTATTCACCAGAACCGCCTTTTCGTCCTGGTACAGCTTGTTGACGCTCTCCAGCTGAAAGTTGTGGCTGGACTGGATTTTGTCGAGCTGTTCCCGTTGCTTTTCCAGCTCTCCCTGGAACTCATTCTTCTTCAGCTCCACGGCGCCCCTCTCCGCGGCCGCCCTGCGGACCCTGCCTTCCAGCTCCAGGATCCGCGTCTGGAGATCCACACTTCGCGAGCTCGCAATCCAATAGTTGAAGCCCAGGACGATGATGCAGGCCACCAGGGCAGCCAACACGAGGGGCGGCGACTTCATGCTGCGGCGCCCCTTTCCCAATCCCATCATCTCAAAAGCCGGGCTGAGGACCTCCTTCCGCGGCTCGGGCGGCCGCTCGGCGCTGCGGGCCCGGCTCCGAGGTCGCCCGGCCGCTCCCGCCGCCGCCCCGGGCCCCGCGCCCCCTTTGCCGCGCCCCGCGCCTTGGCGTCCGGGCCCAGCAGCGGCGAGTCCCCGCCCCGGGCCTCGGTGCGCGTGCCCGGCCGCCGCCCCGCCCCCACCCCAGCGCGGCTTCCCCCTGTTTGGAGATTTTTTGATAGGTTTTCAAGTTCACTAATCTTTTCTTCTGCAACATATAGTCATCTGCTAATATGCTCCAGGGTATTTTTCATCTCAGATAATGCATTTTTTGATCTCTAGAAGTTCAATTTGGGTCTTCTTAAAACATCTTCCATGTTTCTCCTCAACATGCTCACTCTTTCTTCTACCTTCTTCAACATATAGAATATATTTATATTAATAATAACTGTTTAAATCTTCTTTTCAACTAATTTTATCATCTGCATAATTTCTGGGTCTTTTTTATTGATTGATTTTTCTCCTCAGTATTGCTTGCATTTTTCTGCTATTGTACATGCCTGATAAGTTTTTTTAAAATTTATTTTCAGACTTGAGCCAGTTTATAGAACCTAATAAGTTTTGATTGAACACCAGACATTGTGAATTTCATCATGTTGTGTTCTGGATTTTATTTATTTATTTTTTTTGTTCCTTTAAATTACTTTGAACTTTGTTTTAGTTCAGTTAAATTACCTGAAAACAGTTTCATCCTTTTGAGGCTTGCTTTTATGCACTGTAGGTGGGACCAGAGTAGTTTTTAGGTCTAATGTTGTCTTACTACTGAGGCAATACCCCTCTGAGTACTTTTCCTGATGCCCCATGTATTACAAGGTTTCTCCACTCTGACTTTTGGAAATGAGAATTATCCCAGCTCTGCATGACTCCCAAGAACTTTTTTTTTTTTTGAGACAGCGCCTCACTCTGTTGCCCAGGCTAGAGTGCCCTGGCGTCAGCCTAGCTCACAGCAACCTCAAACTCCTGGGCTCGAGCAATCCTCCTGCCTCAGCCTCCTAAGTAGCTGGAACTACAGGCACGTGCCACCATGCCTGGCTAATTTTTTATATATATTTTTAGTTGGCCAATTAATTTCTTTCTATTTTTTTAGTAAAGACGGAGTCTCACTCTTGCTCAGGCTGGTTTCAAACTCCTGACCTCGAGCAATCTGCCTGCCTCGGCCTCCCAGAGTGATAGGATTACAGGCGTGAGCCACCGCGCCCAGCCCAAGAACTTTTACTCCTGCTTTTTTCAGGCTTCTTTACTTTGCCTTGGATAATATCTTCATACATATGTGCTGATCAGTGCTCAGCTGGAGATCTTCTGCATGTCTTTGGAGTTCTTCCTCTGTGCAGCTCTCTATTTTCCATGCAGCTCTTCCTTCTCTGGTATTCTACTTTATGAATTCTAGCCATCATGGCTTCCTGAAAGCTTTAACTCCATCTCCTCAACTTAGGGAGTTCCATTAGTATTCACCCTCCCTACACTGTGGCCTGGAAACTCTCTTTAGGGGTAAGCTAAGTTAGGACAATCATAAAACTATCTCATTTGTCTTCCATCTCTCAGGGCTCACTCCTCTGTACTGCTTGATGTCCAATGTCTGAAAATCCTTTTTCATATATTTTGTTTGTTTGTTTTTTATTGTTTAAGCAGAGAGTAAATCTGGTCCCTATTATTCTATCATGGCTGAAAGTCCATTGAAGGGTTTTAAGCAGGTAAGTGACTTGGATGGATCTGTGGGTTAGACAGATGGCACTCTCCTTTCTTCAGGGGAGGCAATTTTTCCAGACATCCTTCAACAAACTTACCCATATAGTGCCTTTGCCATAACTGGATCATATATAGACCAAAGAGTGGGACCACCTTTCTTGTGATCAGGGTCCTCTGCCTAATACCTGAACAAAATTAGCAGTTTTTGCTAATGACAGATGGCTGATATGAGAGATGGACTGGTGGTACTGGCAAAGAGATTGGCAAGGTGGCAGGTATAGTTTAGATCCATGTAAGCAGCATCATGGAAGTCTGGCAGCAAGCAGCACAAACTCATTCAGTGGGAGGACGGATTTTAGGATTGGTCTCTGGGAAGGAAGGAGAGGGAAAAGTGAGAGAAAGGCTGAGGCTCAGGCCTAGTGCACAGGACAGATATGTAGATGATTTAAAAAAGAAAACAAGAGATCCATCACCAAAACTGGTAAACCAGATGAGAAATAAGCTTCAGACACCAATTTTAAGAAAGGGAGGTTGCAGAGACAGCTACCCAGGCAGGGTCTAATGTCTTAGTTTATGTACTAAATCTCTATGAACAAATGAATGAATGAATGCCTATGGCACTTATTATAAGCAACATGCATGTGACAATTAGTTGTTTGGTATCCTGTGATAAATCCTGAATTATTATTTTCCTTTTCACTTGTTTATGCCTTATCTTTTCATCTGTATTTAAGTCCACCGGAGGCATGAACTATAACTGTGTGCTTCTCTCTTTTCCAACTGGCAGCATTTTGCTCATGTTTCCTGACTCTCAGTCTAATACTCTTTTTTAACTGTACCACTTAGCCAATATTCTTGACAGAAATAGTTTACCAAGGTAATTTACACATATTCCTGGCATATACAAGTATGTATTCTTGAAAAGGCATGCATGGCTTAAAACTGTGCAGTTCAAAATAAATTTTCACTCAAGAAATTATGGTAAAAGACGTCATACATTATGCCATTTCCATTTTGGCTAAATAAAATTTTTGCTGTAGAAGTAACATGTACTAACCATCCCTAAATTCACACACTTCCAAATGAGGTAACCAGGTTTTTTCTTTTTGATCTTTCAGAAAGCATGCTTACATTTGCCTTTTGTTGCTATATTTCTTTATTTTTATTTTTATTTTTTTATTTTTAGAAAGGGTCTTGCTCTGTCTCCTGGGCTATAGTGTAGTAGTGTCATCATAGCTCACTGCAACTTCAAACTCCTGGGCTCAAGCAATCTTCTTGCCTTGGCATCAAAGTGCTATGATTACAGGCATGAGCCACAGCTCCAGGTCTATTTTTTAAAATTTTAATATATTTAGCAGGTGCAAGTGCAGTTTTGTTATATGAATATATTGTATATTGGAGAGAGAGGTCTGGGCTGTTAGTATTCCCATAATCCAAATAGTGTACATTGTACCCAATAGGTAATTTTTCATCCCTCCATCCCTCACCTCCCTCATACTATCCCACCTTTGGAATCTTCACTGTCTAATATTCCACTCTGTATGATTATGTATACTCATAGTTTAGCTCACAGTTGTAAGTGAGAACATGCAGTATTTGATTTTCCATTCCTGAGTTACTTTACTTAGGACAATGGTCTTAAGTTCTACCCAAGATGTTGCAAAAGACGTTATTTCACTCTTTTTTATGGCTGAGTAGTATTCCATGGTGTGTGTGTGTGTGTGTGTGTGTGTGTGTGTGTGTGTAGGTATATATATATATATATATATATATATACACCACATTTTCTTTATCCACTCATCAGTAGCAGTTAGGTTGATTGCATATCTTTGCAATCGCAAATTGTGCTGCAATAAACATATGAGTGCAGGTGTCCTTTTCAGATAACCACTTCCTTTCCTTTGGGTAGATACTCAGTAGTCCAGCAGTGGGATTGCTGGATCTAATGGCAGGTCTACTTTTAGTTCTTTCAGAAATCTCCATACTGTTGTCCATAGAGGTTGTACTGATTTACAATACCACCAACAACGTATATGTTCCTTTTTTATTGCATCTGCGCCAAATCCATTGTTTTTGTCTTTTTATTTATCTTTTTTCCTTTTTTTTTTGAGACAGAGTCTTACTCTGTCGCCCAGTATAGAGTGCCATGACATCAGCCTAGCTCACAGTAATCTCAGACTCAAAGGCTCAAGCGATCCTCCTACCTCAGCTTCCTGAGTAGCTGGGACTACAGGCGCACACTACCACACTGGGCTAATTTTTACTATTTTTAGTAGAGATGGGGTCACGCTCTTGCTAAGGCTGGTCCCAAACTCCTGAGCTCAAGTGATCCTCCTGCCTCAGCCTCCCAGAGTGCTAGAATTACAGGCATGAGCCACCACACCCAGCCTTGTCTTTTTAATAATAGCGATTCTGACTGGGGTAAGGTGGTATTTCACTGTAGTTTTAATTCACATTTCTCTGATGATTAGTGATGTTGAGCATTTTTTCATGTTTGTTGGCCATTTGTTTATCTTCTTTTGAAAAATGTCTTTTTATGTTGTTTGTCCACTTTTCTTTTTATTTTTATTTTAGTGTATTATGGGGGTACAAGTGTTAAGGTTACATATATTGCCCATGCCCCCCTCCCCACTTGAGTAAAAGCTTCAAGCGTGTCCATCCCCCAAACATTGCACATCTAACTTGTTGTGGTAGTATATACCCATCCCCTCCTCCCCCAACTCAACACCCGATAAATGTTACTCCTATATGTCCACTTAGGTGTTGATCCGTTAATACCAATTTGCTGATGAGTACACGTGGTGCTAGTTTTATCATTCTTGAGATACTACACTTAGTAGAATGGGTTCCAGCACTATCCAGGAATATACAAGAGGTGCTATATCACCATTGTTTCTTAAAGCTGAGTAGTACTCCATGGTATACATGTACCACATTTTATTAATCCACTCATGAATTGATGGGCACTTGGGATGTTTCCACAGCTTTGCAATTGTGAATTGTGCTGCTATAAACATTCGAGTGCAGGTGTCTTTTTTATAGAGTGTCATATGATCTTCTGGGTAGATGCCCAATAGTGGGATTGCTGGATCAAATGGTAGATCTACTTGTATCGCTTTAAGGTATATCCATATTGCTTTCCACAGAGGCCGAACCAGTTTGCAGTCCCACCAGCAGTGTAGGAGTGTTCCTATCCCTCTGCATCCACGCCAGCATTTATTGTTTGGGGACTTTTTGATAAAGGCCATTCTCACTGGAGTTAAGTGATATCTCATTCTGCTTTTGATTTGCATTTCCCTGATGATTAGAGATGTTAAACATTTTTTCATATGTTTGTTGGCCATTATTCTGTCTTCTTTTGAGAAGTTTCTGTTCATGTCCTTTGCCCAT